GGGGGGGGGGGGGGGAAGAAGAAAAAAATCAAAGCAGATTTTAACATGACATGACATGACTTTGCAAGCTTGGCTTAAGTTTCCTTAGTCTGAAAAATCTTACCTGGATAAGATAAAAAACACCTCAAAAAATAGAAAAAACTTTGAAAAGTTTTAACGTTTTTTTAAATTATTATTTTAAATAAAATAAAAGTTATAATTTTATAAATTTAAATATTAATTAAAAATTCAAATTTAATTACAACGAATGCATACAAGAAACAAGAACAAGAATAACAAAAGTACAAAACAAACTGTGAAAAAAACACAACAAATTTGTTTTGCTAGTATGGGACACTCTAATTTCATCAGAACAATCAAACAAACAAAACTAGCTGAGCTAGCTCAGAACCACCATTACTCTTGCCCTGCAGTGATTCTGACCAGGGTTCATGCCCTGAAGGTGGCTGAATTTTGTCATTAGCTAGATAGCTAGGTTGAATTCAGCTGCTGACTAGAAGAGTATTCTAGTCTCTGACTGCCCTAATTGGTAGTTATCCTTGGCCTCTCCAATCACTAATAGGAGTATTGTGGGGGAAAACACAGCAACTAGAAAACAGGCCATGTGTCCTTGTTCCCTCATCTTCTCTTACAGACTCTTACTTACTTGCACCACTCTCCCATACATTGAGAGCTTAGAGCTAATTCCAGCTGGGGACAATGACCTTCTGGAGCAGATATCTGAAGAGGGAAATCCCCTGCAAGTTGACGTCTAGCTTGGAATGAAATCTCACGATCCAGCAGGGGAAGATCACCTGCTCCTGGAATAAAACATCACTTCAGTAATGGGACTGATGACTATAACTGTTGACAGGCTGTGAACATCTATCAATCAGTCACACAAGCAAGTTCAATGTAAAAACAAGTACAAAATAAACTTACAATAAAATGCAAACTTGTTCTGCAATTTTGCTACATGTTATGCATGTTTTTTATTATTCAGTCATAATATTATTAATGAAAATGTATGTTACTGTTAATGATCATATGAGTTTGAAATCTTAAAATGTCAGAGGGGGTTAATCCTTGCATACACATTATACATACTTGTCTATATTGAATGTACTTCAATTTGACTTTTCAAAAGCTGAACATCTTTTTTCATGTGAACAAAATGAAAAAAATATATTCCTCAATAAAATTCAAATAAGCCCAAATATATCCATTGGATTTTTTCATTTTTAAAATACCCTGGAATTTTGCATTCTTATTCATTCCCTTACAAGAACTAGTCCATAAAAACATGACAGGTTATTTATTATCTATTTAAATACATCAATAATATTATATAATTTGTATATAGTCCAAGGCTTTTGCCTGTCATATAATGGGGGCAATGAAGTCATCTTTAATCAATTAGAAAACATCTGATAGGTAATATGAATATCCATAAAAATAATTGCATTTAAGCAATCACAGAAAACTAGATCAATTTGTACAGAATACATACTTGGAAAAAATTGGTTGCTGTTCACATTTTATTCGACAATTCTATTGTCAGATTTGAAAATATTCTGGTCAATAAATTTTGCAATGCTATCTGAATGTTCTGTCATTGGGTATTCCCCCCCCCAACATTCCTTTCAGAAAATAAGAAAAGTTTTGGTTAGAAAACATTCTGAAATTTTTCTTTGTAGTAGGGCAAAAATTTAATTACCCGAAAAAAAAATTTGTGAAGTTTTGAAACCTCTACTGCTAAATTGAAATATGACTCAGTTAAGCAAACCACTAAGAAAGGCATTTTATTGTCAAAAGTGAATGGTATCTTTGAGAGAACAAATTTGCTTATTTCTTATAATTTGAGTGTAGTTGTTGTTTAAGTTGTATTTTGTGGTCTAAGGTAATTAAAAAGATTTTAGCGAAAACATGTTTTATTTTACATCTATTAGTTGGTTTTGGCCTGATCTCTTCTTCCTGTAACCTCATCGCCTTAATATGTTTCTTGGAACAATACTTACGAGAAAATTTCACTTAGTGTGGCCACTTTCTGGAAAATCAGGAAAAATCAGGGAATATCATTATTTTGAAAAGTCAGGGAAAAGTTAGGGAATTGGGAAAAGTTGGAAGTCAGGAAAGCTTCAAAATATTATTCCTGAAAATATTGTATAGTATTACTTTTTACTCAGATTCTATTCATTAGTTTTTTTAATTTTTACATTATAATAGCAAAATTAGAGAGATTTCAAATTAAGTTTCAGGCATGCTTTAATATTTTCTTTCGATAGTGTAAAATACTCTACAAAGCTGATCAGTGAAAATGGTCTGGAAAAACAGGAAAAGTCAAGGAAATTTATTCCAGAATATAAGTGGACACCCTATCACTAACTAAGACTGAGTTTGCAAGGAAAAAATCTTGATTTCTTTTTCTTGTCTCTTCTTTTGATTTTGTGGATGGATTTCTTTATTATTGCTAATATTGTACAGGTCTTCAGCACACTTTTCTTGCCACTGAAACATCTTCTGGAAGCAGGGAATAGTTCCCAACCCCTTACAAAACGAAAAAGTGAAGATTTAGATGATGATATTGTAGTTTTTGACTTATTGATGGATCGTATTATGCAGATTGGGTTGTTTGCTGTGGCATGCTCTCAGGATACCCATCGTGAGTATTAAATGCTTTGTGGTAAAGTTAGTTGCCCAGTTGATTTCATGTTCTCTTATGAAGACTTTTTTTCATTTATGATGAATATAAAATAATTTTTATTTGTTAAAATTTAGTTAATGTTCCATGACTACGACAAACATTTCGCTTACTTGCTTCAGTGGCACAACTTAAAAAAAAAAAATCGTTTTGCATTTTATTTCACAAATAGGTCCGTCCTGATTGTGACTTCATACTGAAAAAAGTTTCATAAGTGTAGCTTTTAGAGAAACCGCTAGAAGGGTGTTGTGTCATAGTTGCATCTATAGTGCCTACACTGCGAAAAGAAACCATTAATTTTATTTTGCTTCTCTTGTAAAATTTAAAGTTTTTGAGTTGTGTCTTTCCTTGCGGGTGAGCAATATGAAATACCAACTGGTGGAGGTACCTGGCGTGTTTGTAGGTGTGGTGGGCATTTGTGGCTGCTTGGCAAGTCTTGAGTCTCTGGAACCGGAGTTAGTGCCAGCCCTCCTGGCTCTTTATCTTGATCCAGCAAGTCAGAACCACAAGACCTATCTACAAGTGCTTGTGCGCCATTGGCAACATGAAGTTGCTGAATTGCAAGTTCTTCTGAATGGTATTGTCGATCCTGCTGCCTTTTGTGAGGTACGTTTTAATCATAGTTAAGTTTTGATTTGTTGAATTTTGTGTATTTTAATATCATTATGGTAGATATTCTCATTAGTATAATTTTGAAACTCCCTTTTTCAGAATCAGTAATTCCAAAATGTGTATAATCAGCAAAACTTGAAGATCAATCAATTTATATTTTTTCTCTACACAAATACTTTTTGTACGAGGGGCATTCGATAAGTAACTTGTTTTGGTATGAAAAACAATGATCTGAGTTTTGTAACTTACCTTATTTTTCGACATAATCCCTTCGAAGGTTCAACACACTTGACCCAATGTTTCTCCAGGTTCAAGACCCCTTCTCTAAAGTGATTTTCTTCAAGACCCTCGAAATAGTCATTGACTATCTGGATGTCTTCTTCATTGCTGACAAATTTTTTGATCAGCCAGGAAAGTTTTTAATTTTGGGAACAAATGAAAGTCTGAGGGGGCCAAATCAGCTGAATAGGGTGGATGTGGAAGCAATTGGAAATGAAGTTCAGTAAATTTTTGGGCGATATGGCTTGAATGTGTTGGGGCGTTTTCGTGATGGAACAACACTTTTCTTCTTGCCATTCCAGGACAGTTATCTGTGATAGCTGCCTTGAGTTTGTTCAGAAGTGATGCATAATATTTTCCAGTGACGGTTTTTCCCTTTTCCAGGTAGTCTATAAGAAGAATAACTTGAGCATCCCAAAAGAATAATGCCATCACCTTCCCTGTTGATGGATTGCATTTCGCCTTCTTTGGAGCCGTTTCTCCTCTTGCAATCCATTGTTTGGACTGCTGCTTTTTTCTGGAGTGTAATGGTGAAATTTTACCGTATATTGCAGCTTTACATTAAAATTCACAGAAGTTGCTTTCGTCATCTCTTAGTATTCAAACCAAGTTACTTATCGAACGACCTCCATATTTTTGAAGTCAAAATCAGATATGTTCTAATTTCTTGATTTACCTCTTTTACTCATCTGTATAAATCTCTCCGTGGTATTATACACGCTCATTTTCTTGAGCCCCAGAATACTAATTCTCACTCCTTCACTAACATTTGTTGAATTAAACATAAATGTTTGCTCCCATGTGTAGGAAATATTTTGCACTGAAAAATGAGCTACAGATTTGAAATATCTTATAGTCATGTCAAAATAAACAACCTTCACTTTCCCCTTGCATCTAGTGAAATGAGAGTTCAAGAAAACTTGTGCAGATAATATGTATGTACATCTCAGTAACACTCATTTTGTTTTAGGTGGCTCTGCAAGATATGAGTCATATAGTTGCTACCATCAAAGGGAAGTTATTAAGTTGTAGCCCACAGTTTTTGAAACTTCAGGTGGGAACTGTGCTAAAAAAAGCAGCAATTTTGCAACAGCAAATCAGTATTAGTCTTAATGAAGAGCATGGAGATGTCCTTCCTCCTCAACTTAAGGAACCATTTAAAAATTTCATATTGTGTGAGTTGGCATGTATCAATAAGTGAAACAATTTAATTTTTTTTTATATTCTTGTAGTTCAGATTTCATAGAAATTTTATAGTCAGGATACACAAATCAGGTTATTCAATAATGACTTTGAAACTATTCTGTGTTGTTATTAGGCAGAGATATCTATTGTAATTATGATTCTCTGTGTAAAAACTACTATAATTTGTAGAAATAGGTCAGTTGCGGCACATAAACAGTAAACTACATACTATAAGATCTTTGTGATAAATACTTTTCATGAACATTACATAGCATATCAAAATTGTGACTCTCATTCATATTTTAATCATGTGAAGTAACAGGTTTCTTAAATTTGAATACTTCTTTGAATAAGTCTTACTCTATATTTTTCTATGTGTACACTTCTCAGTTAGTAGAATGTCACACACAGCTCATAACTGATTTTGATGATAAACAAATAATTAATAAATGTTATGTGAATCATTGTAACATTACACCAAAGAACAAAAATGACATTTGGAAAATATAGAAAAGGAATAAATTTTGTAACTTTATTTTGCATATTTGTTAATTATAAACATATTTTTATAGCAAGAAATGAATTAAATGCTGCCTCTCAATTGTTTTTGAGTGAAAAACATGCAGAAAATCTCACTGAAGAAGAGCGAAGGAGATTAATGAAAAGATGTGAACTTCTTGTATCAATGACTAAAAGAATACACCCATTGCTGGTAGATGTAACTGACAACTCTAGCAAGGACAACACAAATGCACCAAAGGAAGAAACAGTATGTGGAAAAGGTATAAAAATACTTTGAATATTTATGATTATTTGCAACATTTGGCATTTCTTTGAGCATAAAGACCTCCAGTCTATTGCACAGTATCCTTTGTATCACCTTATTTTATGCATAAAATAATATGAAATATAGACATAAACTTAATGTGATTGGTGTTTTAGGAAGCCCTCTTTTCCCGGATTCCTTCAGAGATGTGCCTGTGGATCTAGACTCTCAAATTTATCCAGGTAATAAATAATTTCCAGAGAGCTGTTTTGCTAGTTAGTAGTTGCAAAATTTGCAAAAATATTGAAAACAGCAAATTTGATTGGTCAAACCTTGTTATTCAGGTTTTGAATATTATGTCTTAATTCTTTTTCATATAATGAAAGAAGTATGAAAAGAAACGTAATCCTTTCAATTGTGTCACTGACATCTGATCTCCATGCATTTCTTTTTTAACAGAAGAGCTTTCATGTGTGAAGAATAATTTCACTGATCTCATCAAACGAGGGAAAGCTTTGGCTAAAGATAGAAGTATTCCCTATTGTACTCCCAAAAAGAAATGGGAGCACTCAGTGAAATTAATGAACTTACGAATACCTCAAATCAGAAATCGTAGCATTTTTAACTGCACTAACTGTTCCCAAGAATCTCCAATAAATCAGACACTGGGACTTGATATTACAAGTAAGTAAAACATCTGAAGTTGTATAATTAAAGCAAGGCAAGCTCAACATCGATTGAAATCATGTAAATGTATATGGATTTACTCATAAAATTCATTTTATATTAAACATGTATCCATCCAGATAGGAAGAATAAAATGTCACAGTTCATGAAAGTGAGATAATATTTTATCATTTTATTTGTAATGTATACAATATTATACTGTTTGCAATTTGTATTCTAGTAATACTTCAACCGTTTCTTGAAAAACTTCTAATTAAATTAAGTATGAATGATTTGAAAATAATACTGACCTTTTTTTAATTACAAAAGTTTTAATGAAAATGTGCACCACATAATGCAATGTACTCGGCTCTTTCCGTACAAAAAGGTTCGGGTAAAACTTTATACTCTTTTGAAAAAATCTTGTTTATGTATTTGTAGACAAATGTCCCAATTATGTGAAAAATACTATATTTTGAAAAGTGTATTTGAAATGTTGTAAAGACCTTGTAAAGAAGAATAGATTTTATTGAATCATTAGCGCTCAATTTAATGTTGCTGCATATTGTGCACACTTAGCGATGCTGTGCTTGTGGACATTGTTGAAGCTACCTGGTAGCAGCTTTTCGCAGATTTGCAAAGATTTTTAAGATATACAGCTTGCCAGGAAAGTCTCCCCACACAGGCACCATACTGATGAGAGTGCTAGCAACAGAAATTATGTTGGTAGCACTAGCTGCAGCTTGTAACAAAGAAAGCATAGAAAACATACTTGCCACAATCATAACATAGGCTAAAAGTGTTGTCCCTTCACTTGTTTCCAAGTTATGTGGTTGCTACCAACATAAATGCAATTTTAAATAAGAGGCCCTGACTCAGCTTGGTGCGGAGAAACTTTCCTGGTGCATTTTATAGAGTATAATATTCACAAATATGAGTAAAGGAAGAAAAAAATAAGTATTGAGGAACCTTTAGGGCAATGAGACTAGGGGAAACCTCAAAAGAAATGGTTAGATCAGGAACACCTGGAGGACTAAAAACAGGAATGGGTGACTTGCCTAGCTACCTGCAGTATATGACGATGATGAATATTGACGAATATGTTGCATTAATAAATGCATCTCTGGCTTCAAGGTAGAAGAAATAGAACATATTTGAACAAAAATTTAATTTTTAAATATTATATTCTAGAAGTTTTGGTGAAAATCATTTCATGTATGCCAAATTATTAAACAAGCTTGGCTCTTTGTGAGCAAAATATTTAAAGAAAAATGTTGTTTTTAAGAAAATCTTTATCAAGTATTCGTTGGTTATTAAAGTTTTTGATAAACTTTCTCATGTTATTCTTGAAGCATAAATTATAAACTGAAGTATCATTGATTTGTCTGTTTCATAGACATTCTGGAGAACCTGACATCTCTCTCTGACACACTGTCATCAGGAAAGACTCAGGACGACACCAGTTCTAGCAAAAGTAGCTTGCAAAGGAATGACTTTGCTGCTGTCTGTGAAGCTGCTGCCTTTTCAGATTGTGGGATTATGCCAACAAGTGACAGCTTTTTGTCATCTCTGAAGAGTCCTATAACCGGAAGTACTTTCGATATGCGAGGTTTTAGTCATGAGGTAGACACTTTCCAACGAATTGATGACTTAAAAGCTGTTAAAGAAAAAATAGCCAGTCTTAAAGCAAAGAGCACATGAATGAAGGAAACCCACATTTTAGACAGCCACTCGTAAAAGTGGTTCTTTCAGGGCATGTGTATCATGCTAAATTTCCAATTTTTAGCCCTAGTGCTAAAAGTAAGATGATGCTCACATGTTCAGATAAATCTGTGACTGCAACAAAGGAAACAAAATAATTTTGTCTGACTGCAACAACTACAAATCTTAATGTATTATTACGTGGTTTGTGTACTTGAATTAAAATAAAAGGAAAGTCTGTAAGGCTGTTTAATAAATGGTGTATGGTAGATATGGTAAAAGTGATTTTATTTTTTTCATAGGATTGTGCCACTCGACCTATCAGCCTTGTGTCACAACATTTCCTATTCGCTCAATGAAATAACACTTTTACTGTTCGTGTCATAAATAATTATTGTGGTGCACAGAGAACCAGAAAAAATTCAGTTTCTTTGTCAGGGATGTTCTCAATTGAAATACCATTTTCTTGAAGGAAGTTTTTAGTGAAATATATGCACTTCGTAAGCCACTGATATATTTTTTGTACATCCTTTGGTTTTGAAATTTTTGAAATTTTAACAGTATGATTGATTTAAAAGTATAACAATTGAAATTGATATACAAGCTTAATGTCCAAGACAAATTTTTTCTTATACATGACGATTTCTATTCAAGACCAAAGTAAATTTTGGTGATGATATTTACTTTAATAATTATATAAATGCATTAGTTATATTATTTGCAATTCAAAAGGGCTAATAAGTACGTATGTCAATTATTAATGTGTTCATGTGTATAGACGTACTACACCCAGAATTGTACTTCAGCTTCTTGGTCAATTTGACCCACTACCTATCTTGACCAGATTTTACATCCAGTTTCTCTTGATTCCTCAAATGCTAAGACAGTGGCGTAAAGTTCAACAGAGAGGATCCTTGGACCGACACAATATAGGGGCCCCCTAATTAAGGAAATGTCATTAATTTAATTTTGTGATTATAAACTAAATTTTAGGAATGAAAACATTTTCACAATAAACTGTAAGAGGAAATAAATTATAATTTTTGCAGTTTCATAATATAATTTAAATTTTGGCTTTTTCTTCGCATTTACAAATTTATAATAACAATAGACATAATATTTTTCAACCAGATAGTTTTTTCGTGCTTAATTGATAAAAGACATAAATTATTCATACAGTCTTGTGCTATAACCCTTCGTAATCAGCTTTAATTTTGAAAACATTCTTTGGGCACTTGCGGCAGAGATACGAAGTGTCAAAAATAATGTCAATACTGTACACTCACCAGGAGAGATTGTTAATAATGAGAAATGTTTCATTATTAATAAGTTTGCAAGATCTTTAACACATCTTAGTTTTGAAATTTCATTCGTTAAACAAATGCGCAAAGACAGTAACTGTGACATGTTTTCTGCAGGGTTATTTTTAATGAAGTTTTTCTGCTTTGTAAATTTCATCGCCAGAAAGATCTATCAAAATTTGTGGCTGATTAACTGTCAAAATTGCCACTGTATGTGTCAATCCAACAAGTCGTTAGTCCAACTCATTAATGGGAATATCTAGGTATCCACAGTTTATGTTAAGTTTGTAACTTTGTTCGCCATCAGCGAATTGTTCATTCTCGCCCAGTTTGCCAATATGTAGTTTTATTTTCTTCACTTGTTTATTGCTAAATTTCTCTTCTATTTTCCTGACTGAATAATTCTATTGCATTTTGTTTTCTTGCTACTACTTATGTTAGGGATTCGAGTCATTGCAAACCAATGGATGAAATCATACTTTTCGAACTTTAGCCAAATAGTTGCACTTCAGCACACTAAAGAAAACAAAATCTCCTCATACTACTCCTGCTCTCAGATGATAAATTGTGGAGTCCCGCAAGGATCCATCCTTCAGCCAATACTATTCCTTATATACATAAATGACATGCCTTTGGCTTTAAGGAATAACAAAATTTTGAATGCAGATGACAAACATAATCATCAAAGCAAAAACACAACAATCATTAGGAAAAGACACTCACAAAACTTTGCTTGCACTAGTTAAGTGGTTTGAAGTCAACGAGCTCATCAAAAACACCAGCAAGACAGTCTCTCTAAATTTCATGAATCCCTGATCCGGCACTTCATTTATTTCTTCTTTGATTTTATGACACATAGTTTCAGATAAATTACTTATTATTTCGTTTTGGCATTGGGAACTAATTGAACGGGTCCCCGAATCCTCGGGGTCCACGTTCCATGGCCCTGTCAGTCCCTGTGGAACTTAAGCCACTGTGCTAAGATGACCTTTTGACAGACTCCCCCCTTTGCCCCTGTAAATCTAACTTCACTCTGAGTACACTTTGTTGAGCTCTCTTTTTGCTGCTAGCGGTAGGAGTACTAATGTACGGCCAAGGGTGTGGGTTTTTATCAGGTTATAAGATGACATTACTAAGGTAAGATACGTCTCTTTTCCCAGGACATGCCTCTTTTTTATGTGAAAAAACTGTTCGGTGGGATTTTACAAGGACGAAATGTCCTTAAAACGGTAAAATTAAATATTTTGTATGCTACCTGCAAATAACCGATACAGAGAAATGAACGTACACCAGAAGCGCGCTTTGAAACATACTCCTTGAAATGTTTTTCTGGGCAAAAAGTAGTGACAGATTAGACGATGGTCAGGTTTGTGGAGAGCAACGAATTGAAAATGGTTCCGAGAAGGGAAGCGACGGTGCAAGCACAAAGACTTACTGTGTAATGAGCGGACGATTACTACGAGTAACTGCGAAGGCAGTGCGAAAAACCCAGTCAACTACTGAAGGTACTATAGGAGACAAATTCGAGTACGATCGCAGATTAATTAATAAAAGCGGTAAAGGCCGAAAACCTACCATATACTCAACGAACGAGATAAAAGAAATATTGTCAATCACATCAGCAAGAATCCTCGGTAGAGCTCGCTTCCTCGCAGGAAGCCTCGCTTGGCTACAACAGGAAAGTTGCCAAGAAAAAACATTGGATTAGTAAGGCCAATCGGCGCAATAGGCTGCGAACTATTACAGAAACCACCCCACGGAGTTCTGCGAAACTGATTTTCAGCGATGAAAACAATATTTGTTTCAGACTGACAATAGTACGTGTGGAGGAAGGCAGTCTTAGAAAATAAAAATTTACGTGCACCTAAAGCATGGCAGGGGTAAGAGGCTGTATGTCTGTCAGGTGTCGGGAATCTCCATTTTATTGATTCCTCTGTTCACAAATTTGGATATTTATCAGTTTTTAAAAGGAATGTCAAACAAGTGCGGCGAATCGTGGACTGGGTCTGACTTATTACTTTCATCACGACAACGCGCCCATTCACCACGCATATTGTAAAGTTCTGGTTACTGTATAATCTACCAAAGCAGCTTGAAACGCTGCCACAATCACCCGATCACAATCCTATTGAGAACTTGCTGTGGAAATTGGAAAAAAGTGTGCAGAAGCATAAAGTTTCAAATAAAAAATATCCCAAGATGGTCCTCGCTGAAGAATGGAAGACAATCGCGCCTGCGTTTACAAGGAAGTTAGTAAGATCAATGCCTGCAAGAGTGGAGGCTGGTATTCGTGTTAAAGATCATACCACAAAATATTGACATACTTTTTTTTTTCGTTTTTCTGAAGACAAATTGACAGTGTATGTTCATTTTTGGGGTGAATTGCATATGTATTAGGACACGTTTTATTTATTCATTTATTTCACGATATTGTAATATTGAATGAGTGAAGAATGTTTGCATTAATACCTATATTTGTTTTGTGCCTCACAATTCTGCAATAAATATTTTTTCTATGCCAGTTTGTGTTTTCTTACGTAGTGTACGGTCAATTTTGAGAGCCACTGTAAAATTAACAGACTTTTGGCTTACACTTATAGAGTGTCCATTATATCCCATTCTAAGATCATGTGAAATACTTATTGGTGGCAAAATAAATAGATACATTCATGAATAAAATTCAGAATATAAATAAATCAGAAATTGTACTACTAATTAGGTATTTTCGAAGTATTTGTCTGACTACTCATTTTGCCTTCTTTGTTGCGACTTTAAATTGTTGCTGACGTCGTACAGCAGGCATGCCACGGCCGCGGGCAAGGTAACCAACTCGCCAGAGTCCGTAGATTCTGCGTCCAGAGTAACTGGCGAGAGAGTTAAAATTAAAGGTTGTGCAAAAAGCTCTGGGATGTCGGTATGGCACTTGATACTTGCCCCATTACAGTCTTTTGGAGAAGTCTGTGGACAGTAGTTGAGTTTTTGACCCCAAAGCGATAGTAATTCCTATTTTCTTCACTAAAGCAAAGAAATTATTCATTAAAATTAAATACATCAGCTATATTTCAATTGAGACTAAAATTAATTATTTTGCATTAACTTTATTCGCTCAGATTAGAAGATTTAACAAAAATTGGCTATTAAAAGAGTTGTCCGCTCACTAGAAAGACAATTTATTTTACATTATTGCTATATTCAACAAATAACAGAATGATTTAATTAAATGTAACAAAAAATGAAAACCAGTAAAGAATTCGTAATTCAAGCATATTCCTGCGCCAAGTTAGAAAATAAAACATAAAGTAATAAATTGTAAAGAATATCATCATTATTCATTTCTGTTGATTGAAAACATCAGGCAAACACATACTTTCGTACCAAGCAACCATTCGTCGTGATATTTCAAGCGCGCTTTGTACTAAGCTCTCCTGCTACAGCTCGCACATGTTCTGTATTTGAAGCACACCTTTCTGGATTTAAAGGGAAATGAGAGCGGTGACAAGAGGCGTTGCGCGTTCTCACAAGATCGATGACCTTCCCAGGTGGACAAGTACACTTTGTGATCAAAAGTATCCAGACACGTGCCTGAAAATGACTTACTTCGTGGCACCCCTCCATTATTAATGCTGGAATTCAATAGGGGTTGGCCCACCCTTAGCCGTGATGGTATCTTCCACTCTCGCAGGCATATTTCCAATCAGGTGCTGGAAGGTTTCTTGGCGAATGGCGCCCATTCTTCAAGGAGTGCTGCACTGAGGAGAGGTATCGATGTAGATCGGTGAGGCCTGGCACGAAGTCGACGTTCCCAAACATCCCAAAGGTGTTCGATAGGATTCAAGTCAGGACTCTGTGCAGGCCAGTCCATTACAGGGGTGATATTATCGTGTAACCACTCCTCCACTGGCCTGCAAAATGAATAGGCGGTCGATCGTGTTGAAAGATGCAATCGCCATCCCTGAATTGCTCTTCAACAGTGGG